CCTTTTGTCTCTTCGCTGGTCGCCTATCCAATTGGTCTTCAACAGTGACGACATCCACCCGAACTGGTCCTCGTACTGTCCCTCGGGGAGGCTCCTTGGCTTGGACGTCGTCTTCTTCATCAATGCCTTCGTCCATATCAATTGTCAACACCTCCCGCTCATTGGAAAATCGCTTTTACTCACTCTTCGTCATTAACTCCATCTCTCAATAGAAATTCACCAAGAATGATGTAATGTGGCTAATCAAACCTCCTTTCCATCTGGTACTGACGTTTATCCAAAGTAAGTCGTAGAAGATCTTCGCCCAATGGATTGCTTCTTCTCGCAAGGCGCGATCAATGAATCCGACCTGCCATGTTGTGACGTAGGTTGTGCGTTGCGGTTGTTAGATATGCATCACCGCTAGCGCAACTACACGTCTCATTGGATTGCAATACTCCACTGTCCGCCATCTGTTCGTGCTCGATCGCGGGGGTTCTTGAAGAGTGGCGCGAATGTCAAATCTTTTGATTTACCTTCTCGAATACAAAGTCGCCATCATTCCCTGCGCATGGTTCCAAAACTCTCGTCCAATGTTCGAGCGTCCAAAGCATCAGGTTGCCCCAGAGATCGGTGCCTTCGAGCCGATCTCCTTGCAGATAGTCGCCGACACACAATTCCAGTACCACAGCAGAAAATCCAGGCGTGTCGCGATTAGCTCCCGTCGATACTTCCTCAATTCAACATCGGGCGCTTTGAGCGGGACCGATTTTGGCGCAGCAACTTTCTTGGGTCGCGTCATGTCTCTGGTCGTGTCTTCCTCGCTGCAAGAATCTCTTGATTGCAATTCCTTCTATCTCGCTCAATGTCGGCACGAGATGCCCGCCTCGTGCCCTTATCCTCGACGCCCTAATAGTTCCCACACGCGCACGAATTGGCACTCGCAATGCATGTGGTTCTTGTTCGGCCCTTGGCAAATTCAAATTGTGACTAGTTGTCTTCGCCGAAGGCCCGTCTATTACATCTCCGAAGCTATCTGCGCCGAAGTTGGATTCCATCTTCCTTTTGCTGGTTAACTAATTTCCATTTAATCTCCTAATACTATGACTATGAAATTATATGTATACTTTCTAGATAGAATATGTTTAAATTTTAATTCTTTATGCCAAAATCGAAAAAACTAGTCACCACACCGAACATCTTCTTAGTGGTCATTTTTGGGCATTTTGCACTAGTGAAATGAAAAATGTGATACAAAATCTTCAGGAACAACCATGACACTAGTTTTGTCTTCATCTCTTTCTGAAAAACGTATTCTGGTTGATGCGACTGTTCATTGCAATTGCTTTAGAACATTTTCTATTTCAACCATTTGCAAATTTGACATTGTGAACTACCCCGCCACGCACTTTTGAGATTAGACGTTGACGAAATATGAGATTAGATATATTATGCACCTATTTTAAGAATGCCTAATCTGCGCAGTACGGGCTCCTATTGGTAGTGTCACTATCAAGTGATTTTCTCGATTTCGAATATCACGAGGGACATTCAAGAAAAAACTCCGCTCTCTTGCTGAATTTCTCGAAGTTCAACCTCATGTGAAGGGATGACTCGTATATTACAGCAAAAACGGTACATTTCGTGCACTGGCTTGGCAGAGGTACTACTCCCGGTCCCGGTTTCTATCTCTGTTCTCTGATTGTGTATCCGAGTCTCTGAATTTCGTCCCGTCTTAATCCTCAACCCACCAATTACAACATCCCTGTCGAAGAATTGGTCTGTTCCAAGTCTGTATCTTGCCTAATTATAAGCCTCCTTCATAAGCATGGCTAGTCATATGGAACGAGACAGAGGCGTAAAAACTTCATCATCGGAGCAAAACAGCCCAGATTGCGAAGGAAGATGGAGAGAATCGGAACTTCTAGGTTAATGACCACCCCTCGTACCGGAGTCGAAGTTCATAGGTTGCTCTCACCTCAATGACTAGTGTCCATCATCTACCACCAGAATCGTCCAAAGCTTTGAGCATTTGTTAGTAACTTGATTTTCTATCGGGTAGTATATGCCATTTACAACAACTAAAACTTGCCCCATTTTTGTTGATGGCCTATTCGTGAATCCTCATGATCGTTGAATGGATCATGAGTTTCTGTGTTCCCTTAAAGAGATATGTCTGTACTTCGTCGATCTCTGCTTCCAAAATCACGATACAAGTTACCAAAGCATCGAGTGTTATTTCTGGACGGGAAATAGGAGTATCACCTGTCACGACGGTAAGGATAGAAATTCCACGGGAGTACACAAATAATTCGTCCGTCACATCAAACCATCAGCTAGAAGGCCAGGCTGCAGTCATGGAGTGGGTGATCGCTCTCGAGATGCATGCGATAGTTCTCGGGGCCGAATGTTGGACCAAACGTCTTCTTAGTGCTCATTTGTTATTTCTGGACGGGAAATAGGAGTATCACCTGTCACGACGGTAAGGATAGAAATTCCACGGGAGTACACAAATAATTCGTCCGGCACATCAAATCATCAGCTAGATGTCCCTCCTGCAGTCCTGTTCTATCTTGGCAGCATCAGTAAAAGCTCAGGGTTATCGTGAAGACTTGTTGTCTGAGTCGAACATGAAGCAGATACATAGCGCTATGACTGTAAACACTCCTGATCAGAACTTCTAGCTTTTTGAACGTTTAACTCCTGTTTTGCAGAACAGAAGAGACGTTAAATCTGCCTAAACTTTGGAAGCAGCTGGCCGTAAGCAGAAAGTTCGGTCGGAGCAAGTAAGTAAAGCAAAACCTTAGTAGCAATCCCGCAAAATCGAATCCTGTATGCTTGATAACATGGAATCAAACTTACCGAGAGCCAAGCAATGACACGGGCCAGCCAGCAATATAACAACGGGAGGAGCGCTATCAAAGATCTGCGCAATTCTTTAGTCTCATATGCAGGGAGGAACTGATGACCTGATGGATTGAAGTCCCAGGTCAGGGGGCCCCCTTATATTTCGGCTCTACCGATGAAGGTTACTATCTTTCATGTCGGGAATTATTTACATCTATCTAGTTGGACAATCTCATCCATGAGATCTTGCATAATGCTCTAAACAGACTTCGCTTGCCGGACTTTCAGTCCTGAGTGATGATTTGAATTTCTGTAGGCGCACAGAGCGAGTGAAGCTTAGACCATTAACTTTTAACCTCCTCACAAGCTCGATGGCAGTATGTGCGAGCATTCTTGCGTCTAAGATGGCTCCGACATCCGCTGCTGTTAACAGAGGTGTGATGTATCACGGTCCTCCTTTCTCATAGCCTTGTCCGTCAAGGCTATGAGAAAGGCAAGATTGTCCCAAGTGCGTGAGTAGACTCATGACCATGATCGCACATGGGCATTTGTGGTTCATTGCGTTGAAAGGACGAGTATGTTCAGAAACTACACACTTCACATCATCAATTGCTTTTCATACAAGATCTGCTCAAAAGTTTCAAGCAGCTCACACCATCACTTAGAGATGTTCATATGTGTCTGGTCAGCGAACGACGGTCAATCTTACGGGGATCTCGAACAGAGGAAGGGCTTCCCAGGCTCCACAAACAAGGCTTATGCGTTGTTCAGGATTGCCTTGAGGCAAAGCTAGCACAGCACCAAGTTACATTAGAATCCGTCGGTGAGCACAACGTCAAAATCTTGAGCAACTGATCAAGTCATCCACGTTCTGAGTATTCCCTGTATTTTGCTTTTCTTCAGCACTCGCAATGATAACAATCGGAATATGAAAGTTGATGTGGCTGTAAGTCTCTTCCCTAAACCCACTTCCACTTCCAACACGAAACTTGTATGTATGAGCATTGCTTGTTTACCTGAATTTTGAGCTATCACGTGAATGCGCTTACTTTTCCTTAGAAAATTTCTGCTCCACGTGGGGCGATTGTTTGTACAACAGTCATGAGCATTGATCTGAATTTGATCTTCATATGTTGGGGTGTTGACATAAGCAAGTTTTCAACGAGTTCACAAACATTTACATACGGATTCATATGTCCAAGATGACTGATGCAAAACAGATTCTTGATGGATCTTAGTGACCCTCTCTACCTTCTGTTGAGAACACTAAAGTAAGCGAATATGCTGACGTGCGTGACGTGCTGAGTTTAGTATCACATCAGAACTGGAACTCTGTACCAATTCTGATACTGGTACAGAGTTCTAATATGAGACGAAAGATTCTATGCTTGAGAGACGATGGACTGGAAATCTACTTACTGGCATTCTTTCTTAAGTGTCAAGCTGCATATTTGATATTTTCTTTCTCATTGGCATTCTTTAGCTTAGCCGTGCCATGAAAAATCCAAACCATTTATACAAACCTGATCTCGATTTCCCGTCACCCTCATTTTCGCCCTTGTAGATGAGCGGAAAGCGTAATTGTGTGATTTAACTCCGGCATCGGCCACCTCGAGTAGTCGTTTATACTGTATTCACCTAGGATTCGGTAAAGCTCCCGACAAGAAGGTGTCAAAGCTCATCGTAGCTTTCCATTCTCAACAAACATGCAAATCCATCGGAGGGCAATGAAAAAGCGTCAATCATGACTGGTCTTTAAAACTAGAACCGCTGCTCTAAACTTTAATCTCCCCTGCTCACATCAGTATTTTTTACAGTGCTTTTGGTAAATGTTAGTAATATATCGACTTATAAGGCACAAAAAGATATCTTGTTTACACACCCAAGTTCTCAAGTGTTCTCTGTCCGTTTGGAAGGACTATCCTTCCCATCAACATTCGACATTTTGTACCTTGCCCTCTAGAAAATCCATCCATTCTACAAATTAGCTTCACGTGTCCCCGTTGGACTTTCCTACTGGACTCGTAAACTCATCATCCGCACACATTTCTTCTCAGTACTTAGTGTTTGAATAGCGCATGTGCATAACTTCAAAGAAAGTAAAAACTTCAAAATCAGCGCAGCAATCAAGCTACGGGTAAAAAATAAGGTCTTCAAAAGAAGGGTGATTCTAGCCCTTACAGTGCATTTTCCTTTTTCTTCCAAAGGCAATCCCTATTATCTCGTATATGGCTCTCATGGTCGGTATATGTTTGGTCGTCTTATATAACTTTTCGTTGCAAGTTATCTTCTTCACTTTTACTCGTTCCGGAGAGAAGGAAAAGACTAGAACATTCTGGATCAGAAACTAGTATCACCCATGCGCCTGATCATTGTTGTTTATAGCCTATGAGTCCCCTCTGTTATGATGATTTGACACTGCACACGTCATTAGAAACGTCTGATGAGAATAGTAAACGCTCAGCGCAATCTGGATATCGAAATGAAAGATCAGAAACCTTTTTGCGCACTTGATAGCCTACATTGAAGGAGAGTTTGGAGCGTAATTTAACTTCATGTCTTTCGCACAGATGATGACGCCAAGCTGGGATCAGGTACTAGTGCGGTCTGAGGTCAGATCTGCACTACCTATGACCACCATGTTGAGCAAGTTGAAATTTCCTGTAAGTTCGTAACAACCAGATGCGCATGTTCGAATAATTTGAACGGGAAAAAGCCAGTCTATCGCTATTTGTGACCTTATCAGGCGATGCTATGGCAGAATGTAAGGAAAAAGGTCGCAAATTAAGCTGGCATGTCCGATTCACAACGAAGATGGGTCTCATCGTTAAATAGGCTCGTGGAAACAACGGGCTACTCATTGTCGACGGTAACCGGTGGAAATCGTGAAGCTACAGAAACCAGTTACACCCAGAATAAGACCATCTAATGTCAATTAGTACTTTAAGGGTCCTGAATGGTTTCCATTTCACTTCTTCGTCTGAGGAGCTGGACCCTGACAAAAGCAGAACATTCTTAGTGCTTCACCACGAAATTCAGAGTCAATCGGCCACAACTGACTATAGAGATGCAGATTTAAAGAGAAAGGCATCTGCTCTTTCTGAAAATGGTACTTATTGCGGATGCTGTGTAAAAGATGAATCTCGCAGACTTCTTGACAAAGCTATTTTGTCAGCTTACCTTGAATCAGACCTTCACAAACAGAAAAGTAAGACATCAAACTTCCTGACGCGTCAAAAATATGGAACATCCTGTTATGCCATAATTTTGTTTTCACCAGGCCTGAGTTTTACAGAGAGTCATTGCGTGCCGTATAGGACAATCTAATGGAACAAAGAGGAACGACAACATGAAGAGCACGACATTTTTAAGTCATACTAGATAAGCCAGAAAGTTTTATAGTTCTGTATGATGCTTTCACCTGTATGAAGGTGTGAGGCTCTTTTCTGAATGATACAAGATTACGAGCGGAAATGTTAGTTCGAGATTCGCGGAAAGCGGAGCGAGTTCTTGTTACGGTATGCACCACACAGGATTCTGCGGGCATCGTACTAACTTTCTCGCGCTGGTAGGCAGATTCAGTACACGATTTTATCCTGTTTGTCTGATCGTGGAGAAGGTAGGAGCCACGAAGATAAAGAAGACTTTGAATCAAACGTGGTATATTGAAGAGTCTCCATACTAGAGGAGTTTGGGGTCTACTGAGATTGAACACATTGGTCTCAAATTGTTGTGCACAATCCATATTCTGAAGTAAATCAAATGCTTGATATGATAAACATCGCCATATAATGAGGTATCAATTCACCTTGATTGAACTCAGGACAAACAAGAGATGGATTGGATTGTGGAGCGAGCACAATCCAATCCTGTCGTCGCGAATTGTCAATAGATCGGGGAGAGAGGGACATCAGACCCTTTTGCAGGCTGCAGAGACAACGCTGTCAGGTTTTTTATCGACGTAACACGAATGAATACCAGAAAGAACGATGAAATTCAGAAGAATGTCAAATAACGATTTATGGAAATTAACTGTGTCAAAACTTCAACAATGTGTTGGAGAAATTTCTTGAATGTTGTGTTTAAAACTAAGAGGCATTTTTTTGATAAACCTCCATGCTGATATGGAAGAAAATTCTGAAATTTGGACGGGAAGTGCAAACCACGTCCGATTAATCTCTAAGAATGTGGGCAAATCTTGGGGAGAATGTGGTTAAGGGGTGAGGACTCGGTATATGTTTCATATCCAACTGTGACGAAAAGTCTGTGCAAATTAAGTCAGATCTTTTTTTAAACCACATAGATTCCGTCGAATGAGAAGCTGCTAACGTTTCCCACGACAGTCACATTGGAGGTGTTCTCGGGGTAGGAACATCATGTCGTAAGGCTGACTGACGCTTTCTAACCCCGATGTCATTGGCACCGAACTGAATCCCGTTGATTTGCTATGAGTCAGCTTCTGAAGAAGCTCTTGAAGACGTTGAGCCATTCGATCCAACTGATAGTTACATTCAAACTAATGCAGAATACATCTACATTTACCGATAAGGCAAGGACTTTTGTATTGACTGATCTATGTGGTACAATGGTAACCAATGTATGTCCACCAACCATTCAAACTCACGGAGTAACTCGATTGGTTAGTGCCAAGTAGTATAGAAGCACAGCTATCACTGTCGCAAGATGACTCCGCATCACAACTAGATATTTGAAAGTCGTGCGTCGGCTGACGAAGTACAGAATCAACAGAGACAATCAGGAAGAGCTGACTCTAGATCAGCCTGCCCACCGAGATTTCATAGACAGGATGGATTTGACCTGCAAAGCTAAGACTGAGTTCGGAGTAATGGCTTCAGAAAAAGTGGAAGGCACCATTCGCCAGGAGAAGAGAGCTTCTATATTTGCCTGGAGCGTCTTCCAGCCTCTTGAGACCATGAAGCCTAATCAGAACACGTTACACAGAATCGTTTGCAATTCTTTGGGGAAGAAGGTAGGTCCCATATCTTGGGCTTCATCGAAACGAGAACAGCAAGAGGGTTTCCTTTGATATAGAAAGTACCATACTGCAATTTTCGTGTACAGTTCACGAAATGACAATTATGGTGAGCGGCAAAGGAGAAATAGCCACGAGTCGTCGCGGTTCTGTAACGAGGTTTATCCTAATTAGATGACGGAGACCTTGTCCAAACAATTGGGTTAGCAAATCCTCACCCTGCGGGTACGTGATTTTCAAAACACTGCCTAATAGCGGGAAACTGATGATTTTGACAGATAAGTCCAGGGGTCATGAGCACACCTTTTCCCACTCTTCCTCGCTCTCTGGATAATCTTACGAAAGATGACGTTCTCAAGTTTCCACATGAGAGAGAGAGAGACGTATACAAGCTGCATATTTCACAAACTGTGAGGACGTAGAACTAAGTGTGGAGACAGAGACACCACGACATAGCATCATAACTGCTGACTGGGAACTTTTCTAAATTCGTGACTGGTGAGTCTGGTGAGTCTGGTCTAAAACCGCAAGCGGACAGAGACGTAGGCCTTCTGCAAGAACCTGTCGGAGAGTCGAAGTTCTGGAAGTTCAAAGTCCTAAAACCAAGATCACCGTTTCGGTAGATATGACGTTTCCTCGTTCACATTGTCGGATTAATTTTGCAGTCGTAACGTCCCCATATAGGGCTCCTACTGCTATGTATGCACAACTGCCAATGATCAATAACAACTCGTACCTGGGGCAGTCCGAGAAGATGATCTCAAAACTTCTTGAGATCCTAATCACAACAGGGACGGTTAGAAAAGTGTCATGCTACTTCAGAATACTTTTTTCTCAGCAGTAATAGATGTTGGGCTAAACGTGACGGGACAATTCTAAACGCGTCGAGCGAACGAATCGCCAGAAGACAAGCGTCGCAGGAGATCACGGTAAAGACGCATCGCCCACTTGCGATCCAGAGCGGTTATCCAATTCCAATAGGCAGTTCGGCAATTGGGAAATCAATCGAACGAAACGGAGTGGACTCGAATCTGCTTTTCGACACGAATGGTCGAGTTGCCCTCCAACCGACTGAACCTTTCCACGAGGATCGTTTGACAGGGCCCGAGCCTTCGGCGCAAAAAGAGCTCGCTGACAAAGCAAAGAAGTTCAGAAGCACGTTTGAGAGCAGCGAGCCAACTGACGGAGACCGCGTTAAGCTCCCGCGCGCTTACTCACTCTCGAGACGATCTCTTTGACTGCATCGCCGCGGGGGAGACTGCCCGCCTGGCGCCCCGACGGCTCGGCTCCGTTGCCACGGAGCGCCTCTGCGCGTCGTGAGCCTCGAGACCCAAGTCCTCACTTTCAGGAGGGCCCGATGAAGTGTCAAAGGAAAAGATCCATGTGGAGAATTATTTTCTCGCATGAGGCCAGCCGATGTTCTGTCCTCTCACAGTACAGTACCTGATCGGGTACGACTAACTTCCCAACGTGTCATTTGTTCGGCGCTCCCGATTCAGGCCGAACCGTCCGATTTCGCGAGTTGGCATATGCTGTTTGAATTGAGAGTCCCTGTGCCGGGCATTCGCAGTTATCCTCTGTTATCGCCATTTATCCCACGGTGGCATAGGCCAGAGGGTTTTCACCCCGCCACGACTCCCGAGGTGTTCTGATTGAGAGATCGAATTGCCGATTGACCATTTACTGGGCGCCATGTAACCCTTGAATGAATCTGTAGATTATCATTCTCGACCGCAGTTGACAGATTTATCCAACAGGCTAAATGACTCTGATATGCGAACTGCCAGTACATGAGAGATTGAGTACATGAAATTTCAGCTTGGCGTAAGTTTCTTCGTCTCTATCGCTCTAAATTTAGCATGAGTTCCCAAAACAGGATATTTTCAATCTTATATTAGCAAAGATATACAGTATGACGAGAAGAAGCAAGAACATTTAATGTTTTTTAAAACATTAAAAAACATTCTCAATTCACTGCGCGTTGCGAGTGAAACATTTCTGGTCCCCGTAGTCTTACCGTGATCCGTGTAGAGAATCCTTGTACCACTGTTCGGCCTATGCTTATTATTAAATAGAGAAAAATTCAATGGCTACTTGAAACCCTTTGATGGACAAGAACGGGTATCAAAACACAACTGTAATGATTAAAAAAAACTAGAAATAGAATAATCAAATATTGGTCTGTTATTCCAGAGCAAATAGCTCCAGAATGTATATATGATAGACCCAGCCAGTCGATTTAAAAATTATAAATCCAGAAGCTTCAACTGGAATCACGTCAATGCACATATCGCCACGCAGGAAATCACACGTTGACACGACGTATGCATAAACGACACGTCAAAAACAGGGAAAACCTTTTCTGTCACTGGAGTGCGGCTGTACGCAGATCATCTGTACTTTGCGAAAAGCGTTCCCGTCATGCTCCTTCCGTATATTTGACAAGCACATTTTTCGTACGTGTGGATAAAACTTGAAAGATTTGAAGGAATCAAATAAAATAATCAAAACCCGTAAAACACTTTACAATCGAAACATCTAGAAAAAAAGTTGCCATCTATGACAGAAGGGGCCCGGTGAAATCTGGACAGTTATTGCATTATATTTGAATGCGTGTGGGCCTTTAAAAATTGTACTTTTCTTTTGATATTTGCCCACATGTTTCTAAAACGTCGATAATTCGTACTTTACAAAGTGGTTTACAATATACTTAAAGATGTACGAAATCACGAATTCCATAACAATCGTCATATTAATACATATTTAATAACAGCATATCTTCTACTCGTTACATTCTTGTACTTTACTTCAAGAGCAAATACATTTGGCGCGCTCCTGTGTACGTGGAAGTTGCTACAAGTTACAAACACCAGTGAGCCCTTAACTGTAACTGGTTTACTTAGTAAGGAAGAAACAACTCTCACAATAACATTCTTTTAGCAAAAATGGAGAGTCAGCCACTCTATTTACAATATCGTTCATTCTATAATTGGTGAAGATTTTTGTATGATTATCATCAATGTTCACGAATCTACACGCAAACCAACAATCCTAACTCTAGCTCCTACAATATCAAATTTCAAGATACTCCTATTCCGCAATCAAACCTC